AGTTAACAAGCTGCTGAGTTGGAGGAATAAGTTTCTAAGTCAAGCCGGTCGCCTATTTTGATCAAACAAGTTTTAGCCTCAATGCCGATTCGTGTTTTTTCTGCGAACCCTCCGCCTAAGTCAGTTACTCAGAAAATGGAACGTTTGTGTCAGCAGTTTTTATGGAGTGGTGCTAATGGGGACAACTAGAGACATTGGCGGGCTTGGGAGAATTTAACCTTTCCGGTTCTGGAAAACGACTTGGGTATTCGTAGTTTGCAAGATTCTGTGGAGGCTTTAACAGTGAAGGTGTGGTGGAAATGGAAGCAAAAGAAGGGCATTTGGAGTAAATTTTTGGCTTCTCTATCTAAGTCAGCGAGGGGGAAAACGTCATGGAGTCGGGTGATGAAAGTGCATCATAGAGCTATACAGCATTCAAAAATTATAGTACGAAGAGGGAATCTCTCATTTTGGTATGACAACTGGACACCTTTTGGTGTGCTTTGGGTTGATAATCATGATGATCCTCCTCAGCCAAAGTTGACGATTAGGGAATTCTTTCTCCAAAAACAGAATTTTCCAATTAATTTTCATAATGTTATCCCTGTTGCTGCTGTTGATTTTCTTGCAGAAACGAATTACGATTTCCAGGGAGGTGATGACTTGATCTTCTGGCAGCATACTTCCTCTAGTGAACTTACAATGAAATCGGCCTATGAAACCATGCGACGGAGGAATCCGCAAGAACATCTGCTGAAAAATGTATGGAGTTCATTCCTCCCTTTGAAGATTTCAGTTTTCTTATGGCGACTGCGCAACAATCTTTTACCCTTTCCTGAGACTTTGAGCCGAATGGGTATTCAGGTTTTGCCCTCCATATGCCCTTTCTGTTTAGCTCATTGTGACAAAGTTAGCCATTGCTTTTCTGGATTTTTATACCGTGCCAAGTCTTGTTGCATTTTGCAAAAATTTTATGCATTAATATTGATCGCTGTAGCTCTTTAGCATCAATACTTGAGTTATGGTGGAGGAAAGGTGATATCAAACAGCTCAAGGTACTTTTCGTAAAGCTCTCCCTTCGGTTATACTTTGGATTCTTTGGAAAGCTCGTAACAAGGCTATCTTTGATGACCTAAGGCCAACGTTTTCGACTATTGTCCGAGATATTACGGATCTGATTCAATCTATTCTGATGATATATAATCCAAAATGCAGAAATGAGGAGGATCGAAGCTTCTTTACTAGGTTCTTTGGTATAAATCTCAGTCGAATCATTCGACCTAAGGTTTGGAAGGTTGCTTGGATACTTCCGGGTCCGAATTCTTTCATCCTTAACACTGATGGCTCATCACGTTTGAAGGAGTTTGGATATGGCTTTGTCATTCGTGGTGCGGGTGGGACTTTTGTATATGGAGAAAGTGCATACCTAAGTGAAGGAGATAGTTTTAAAGCTGAATTTTTTGGGGCTCTATTTGGTCTAAGGAAGTATGACTCTTTGGAGATTTCTAATGTGGTGCTTCAAACAGATAATAAAGCCTAGCTGATTCTCTTAGTTTGCGTAGAGGGTTTGTTTGGCCTTACTACACATTTATGCAGGAAATGTCTTTTATTACACGAAAGAATAACTACCAGGTTTCACATATATATTGGGAGGTGAACTTTGTTGCTGATAGACTTGCAAGATATGCATCAAGTGGCTCTTCTGAGTTGGATTTTAGCTTAGCTTCTTTGCCACCAGTTGTAAAGGGATTATTGATCTTGATCAATCATCCTTCCCTTACATTAGAATTCGTAATGCTTGATGTAAAAACAGGTAAGTTGGATGCACTGCCTTTTATTTCAATTTGATATTCAATAAAGAAAAAGGGAGGAAGGAAGTTAAGGAACTAGATGATATGTATATCCTTCCCTTGGGTGTAACCCTTGGGGGTATCATGTTATCTGACTATAATCGATTCAAAAATTCGTCTCTTGTATATACCCCTTGAGTGTTTTTGAATCAGTTAGAACCCAAACTTCCTTCTGACCTTCACGTTTATTTAAACAAAAAACCCTAATTATCAAGATAGATTATCCATTTAACTACCAATTAATATAAATTTTCTAAATAAATATTAAACTACCAAACAAATACACAAATAATATAAATAAATTAATAAAATAAATACATTAATTAAATAAATTTATTAAGCTAATAATTTAAATAAATAAATGATGTTAATTAAATATTTTAAAAAATAAAAAATAAACTAATTAAATTAAAAAAAAAAGGGCGGCGCCCATTTGGGTGCCATCCATCGGTTGGTTGGCTGGCGCCAAATCTGACGCCACCTCCTTCACCAAAGGTGAAGATTGTCTTGCCTCCCTGTAAAGGGAGGCGAGTTTATTCCGGGGTGGCGTGTTCCTCCTGCGCCAGCCGTTAAGGGACGGCTGGTGCATTTATCCCTCGCCTCCCCCTCCCCCCCCTTTTTTTGAAAAAAAAAACATACTTCTATTGTGCTGAGGGCGTATCCGTCTTTTGGAGGGCGCTCAAATGAGAAAATAAAGGTGCTCAACAGTTCGACCCTTAGATAATGAACACTGCTGCAATCCGCAAAAAGTTGGGCAATAAATCCATTGTTTTGCAGGCAAAAATAAGGGCAAGGATCTCCTATTGATATTTCAAACGAAAAATGTTGTCTAAATCGAAGCACTCCAGAGAATATAAATGTTTATTAGTATTTTTTTAATTTATTTTATCACTATATTTCTAACATTATATATCATATTTTGGATTTTGGCCACACGAACATTTAAAGTTTTTCAATCGTAAAACATTATTTTTTGATTTTGAAACAAGAACAATTTCTCAATCCGTGCAATATACGGGCATAAACTAGTATAAATACATAGCAAAACAGCTGACATAAGAGAAACATTGTATCGCAACTCACACCATTCTATATACTTTTTACATTAGATATAAAATACTTTCTTCGCCCCAGATGACGAGTTCATGCGAAATTGAAGAGTTCAACTTTAGCAAAAATTCAAGTACATTTGCGTATGACACCATCTGTTTTTAGTACAAAAACATGAAAAAATAATTTTAATCGAGCACATGACGACATTTAAATTAATTCTCATTTGACCTACGTAAATTTTTTTTTCTATAAGAAAGTCTTTCAAACACGTGTGTTAATAAAAATGTTAAATGAGCAAATCACAAAAAGATTAATGATGAAGTGCAATCTAATCTAAAATCTGAAATACAAAAAAAGACTAAAAATCCACTTCCAACCCTAACAATTTGGAAGTCACTTGCAATGGCCGCTCCATAGGCTCTATCATACTACTAACTACAGTATCAGAACTAAATGGTAACGAGAAATGTAAAGACCTTCATGCCAAAAGCAGAGTTAGTAGTAGTAGTACAAGGAAGTCCACAAAAGCCAGACCAAATCAGATCCCAGCAATTGGCATGAAAGCCTGAGACAAGCAGGCACAAAGACATCAATTTCCTCCTAAATAGGCTAGCCAGCACAATATTTTTGTTTGACTGCTGGTGATCATAAAACTATGCTCTTGATTTCAGCATTCTAGATTCTGGTATTTTTTAGGGTTCTTTTTTTTCTTCTTTTTTTCATTGTTTTCTTAGGGACCTTCTGCGGATGGCTTATGTTCATGGGGTTTAATGCTTCTAACATGAAAAACACTGAAAACTACAAGAGTCTATGGGTTTGTAGTCTCATTTGTTGTTATTTCATAGAAGAAAACCGGCATATCATATCACTTTGATGTGATTAGACAATATTGTATTCTGTCTCAATATAGACTATGATCCCTATATTTTTTAATCTCTGATATGAACTACTTTGTATTAGGGGTTTTCACGGTTTGGCTCAATCCGGTGGAACCGCCTAAACCGGTCATCAATTTGGATTAGCAGACGGATTATAAGTGAATTTTTAATTCGGTAAATTTGAAATTTAAAAACCGGTTATACCGGCCCGTATTACGGTTTGGCATAGTCAAAACGTCTGGCAAACCGGATTGGACCGTATATATATTATTAAATAATAATATAATGGTTTCGTATATATAGCTACGGATGATGACTTATAACGAAATTGTTAAGTTGTCGGATTGGCTTTGTTGTCCCCCCTACTCTTACATTTGGTTGAGGTCCGTAACTAAATTTTTTTTCCTCCCATTTTTCCCCCAAAAAAGGGCAAAAAAAAGTTCAATAACAAAAAAATGTTCAATTTTGGCTCAAAATAGAAAAGCCCAATTAGAAACCCAAATCGTCAATCTGCCCAAACCAATCTGTTTATAACGGATTGGATTAGTCCGATTTAGATATCAAACCAGTCCGGTTACGGTTTTAAAAAATTTTAGAACCGTAATAAATAGTTTGGATACGGATTACTATTAATCCGAACCAATTCGATCCGTAAACACCCCTACTTTGTACATACAAAATATAGATTTCAATTAAACATTGCTTCATTTAACAGTGTATTCTCATTGCAAAATTTATCTCACAACTCGAAAACTTGTAAGATCAATTATCTTGATTTCTAACTACTCCCTCTATTCCAAAAAGAATCTATACTCATAACTTAATATAGACTATTTTCTTAGAACAAGGGAACATTAGTTGTTCATAGAGAGGTCTACCATACTAGTGAAGGCTGAAGTAAAAAAAAACGCTGTCATGCGCTGAATTTTTCTAGCAATATAGGAGTTCTGAATGTCTTGAAAATGAGAAAAGTGAAAGTGGAAACATCATTAATTAACTACTACAAAGCCACAAATGGAACGAAAATCTTCTCTACTTCTAGCCACAAAATCACCAGGAATGCAAGAAGGCTATAGCGTATAAGGAGAGGGTCAAGCATGCTTTTTGGCCTTACCCTTGCTTCTACAACAAGGCTATTCCTGGATTTGAGCCCTGATCATCCAGTCACAACGAAGCAACTTTATTAATGAGCCAAGGCTTGTCCTATGAAAATATCTTTTCAAAACAATTGGATCAAGAATCATAGGCCATTCAAAGCATATAGAACAATCGATGCTTGAAGTTCTCGGTCAACGTTGAAATGAGCATGGAAGAATCTTTTCACCTGTTAAAAGAATGAATCCAAGTAGTAATTTTCAGAAGAAAATACAGATAATACCCAAGTGAAAGTATAATTGTATGAGAAACAGATTGCCAAAAATCCTGACCTCATGAAAATTATGTGAAACAAGAAAATCTTTCAGTAACTTTTCCTGTGAATCAAACAATACGATGTGACTGGGTATCGACCAATTCTTTGAGAATTCCGTAGTGAAACCAACTGGATCCATCAGGAACTTGTCTGACTCATCTTGAATTCCCTTTTCCTCGCTGTTGGAAACACGTGAAAGAATATGTGAATTTGGAAATCAGAGCATAAAAGACAAAAATAAAAAACAAAAAAAATGGCTAAAGCATATTGGAGATAAGAATTTTTACCTAGGAGTACAATCTAAGAACCGCATAGGTATCTCATGATGTAGGGTTGAGTAGTATGGTGTAGCATGGCAAGGGGTGAGAAAAAGGATGCTTTTCACTTTTCCATCAACAATGTTGTTTGCTAGATAGTACATGACATCCTCCGTTCCTCGCTGCCATAAACAACTGCCAGTCAGAACAAAGGCTAGAAAGGGATGAAACAGAAATAGGTCAAATTTTACATATATATATGGACCACTGCTGAACATAAAAGTCTCTTCAAATCAAGAAGAGAAAATGGTAGTCAAGAAAATGTGTAGATAAACACTTCCTCGTTTTATAGCTCCACCTACAACCTGATTAATACGAACTCATTTATGGCGGGCATAACCGGAAAAAGACATGTATGCACCTGATGAACCATACTCATGTAAAGAGCCATTGGAATGTTGGTAGCAAGAATCAACGCCACAGCTAGTTGTTTCTTTAAGGGGGAGCTGGTCCTAGGAGTTTTATTCCGGCCATTTGAGTGACCAATCCGTCCCAATTTGGCTAGGGCGTACCCGGAGAACATCAAGGCTATTGGAAGCACAGGCAGGACGAACCTATTACTCAGAACAGATTAGAAGCTGACAAGTTTCAACAAAATGCCAATATAAATATGTGAACAAGACCTACCTGAACTCTTTGTGACCAAGTAAACTGTAGATTCCTAATACCCAAGCAATAAGTCCAGATAACTTCCATTTCTTGGACATGACAATGCCAGCTACCATAAATGGTAGGAATGTCGAAAGCATGACCGTAAATCCCTGAGTGAAGTACCAGTGCCATGGATGAGTTCCATAGTAGTCTCCCCCGGAGGAAAGGAAATTAAACTTAAGAAAATTAACAGGAACGAAAACCCAAGAGCCATACATCAGACGATCCAATAGAAGAGTGATACCAAGCACCAAACCCCTGATTCCAGGCATGCAAATGATTAATGATCACATATATGCTGTGAAATAAGTGTTTCTGACTCATAACAGATGGCTGTAAGATCCCAGAAATAAGTTGAAACTAGAGACCTGCAGCATTAAACGGTCTAGGAGGAACTGCAAGTATGCAACTAATAACCATTCATTTAACCACGCACAATGTAAAATCTTCCAAGATTTCAGCTACCCTAGTTGATGAAACAATGAAAGGAAATAAGAAAGGAACATATTCCAGATCCTCCACGCATGGTGCAGCTCATTTTTGTTAGTGGAAAGAGAATTAAAATGACAAGATCAGTAGGAAGATTAAGGATCTCAGGAACAGTTCAAACCCTACAGAATTTGTTCATATCAAACAGCTACCAGTGTCTAAACATAGTCGAAACAAGGAGGATTACTCCAGTTGTAAATTGTAATATTAATAACAGTATCTTGAACATTTAAATGCTGATGACTCTACCATGGCTCGCAGCTCATGAATTTGAGTAATGGTAACAGCTTATTAGAGAAACGAGTTTAGGCTGCCAACTCCAAGCCACAATGACTAACTCTCCCCACATGCCCATAAGTGGGGGTTTCTATGCACTGTAATTCGCTTTAAGCTTTTCTAGTCTGTAAACAGAACTACAGACACACATATACAACCAATATCACACATGACAAGTTCAGGCACATAAAAAACAGCTACCGTGTCGTAGAGGTAATTAGTGACGATGTTCTGTATCTTTTGTCATGCTTTCCAAGAATGAACTTAACAGCTTTTACAAGAAACACAGGCAAGCAATACTTGTAGACAACTGAAGCTGGAATACCATTTTCAATATGTTTAATGACATGCTAATTAGCAGATAGAATGCACTCAACGATGCAGGAGTATCTTGTCAGAACAACAAACTGATCAATAAGCATTCAATTCTGGAAGGGATGATGTTTTAAATGTCATGGGTACTGATTTATACCCACACGCTCATGAAAGAAAATAGTGGGGAAAACAGGGAGGGAGGGAAAGAAGGAGGGAGGTTAGTAATAACTCCTCAAGCATCCCCATGTCCACAAATAGTTTTTGCAGAATAGCTTGGCAGTCACTAAATCAGCGAAAGCTTTTTCAATATAATGTTAGCACTTAAAAATTTCCAAATCTCATTGCTTCCTGAAACCTCCTGTTTTCCTTCATAAAGTTTGCAGAATAGCAGAAAAGTGGGCGGTGCGACATATTTAATTGGGAAATACTGATGGGGCCATTTCAATGACAAAGACAAAGCATTAACCCCTCGCAAGCCCAGAAACAACCTCAGTTCCCACTAGCCAATATTCTACCCCTGTATACCACAATGTATGGAATTTTCTATTCACATGCTATGTAGACCCTAGCCACACATGACTAATCAAAGTCTCAAAACTCTAGGAAAGTATCTCATCAACTCGCGAGATGGTCCGTTTTATAAGTTACAAAAACAGCTTTCTCAAGAACAAGAACAATTATCTTTCAAATAGGACATTCACTTGGCAGCTAAATCGAGTTGTCTCCACAATTAGTACAACTACAAAGACAAGCATGAATACCAACAATAAGTAAACTAAAGGAACGGTTGCAGTAAACACCTACCCAATAGGAACCACCTCAAAAAAAATAAGCTTTACTCTATGGCGTGTCAAGAGAAGCTCCAAAACGCCAACATAAAGCCATATAATAGCACTTGTAGGCCGAAGGGCACATGCTAATGCTGCTAAAGCCAATGCCCAGCTTCTTGATGTCACAGGGCTTTTAGTAGATGAACCTCTTATGCACGGCCAGTAATACAGGCTAGCCAAAGTAAGAACGGTCTCCATGTTATTAGAGAATGTACGTGTGATACAAAAAAACATGAACCAGTTTGACAACTGTGCAAAGAGCTGATCAGAGTTAAGGTCAACATTACAACAAATCCATGAAAAAATAAGTGATACTCCCTCTGTCCCGAAAAAATAGTCTACTTTGTTGAATTAAATTAGTATAACAAAGTGGACATTTTTCTGGGAGGGAGGAGTATTCTTTTCATTCTTTGATCCACAAGCATTAAAAGTCTTAATGAGATATAAATAGGGGCAGCAGGTATGTGGAAATGACTGCTGAGCCATGGAATAAAGAGATAGAGGAAACATCTCAATCCAAAAGCAACACAGGCCCAGAGAGAAGGATACTGCCCACTTTGCAACAGGTTCACCAAAAACAATCTCAGACAGCTTGTACAAGTAAATGTCGCCTACTGCAGAAAATATTGACTGCAGTATTCGAGGAGCTTTAGCCTGCGGAATGCAAACTTAGTCAATACCAAGAAGGAAATAGCAGAATACTCCAAATCTCTACGCATCTACCCATTACCACATTAGACCAACTTTTTAAAAGTACAAAGTCAATCAAGATAATGGCTAAGCAACAATCGAAAAACAATGAGCAAAACACAGTGCTATAACCAGAAAGCCTATCTGATGCAAAATTCCCTGTAGCTTATCATAGGCAATTAATATCTTAATATTTAAATTCGAAAGATGATTCATGCATTGATTGAGCTCGATGGTGACATATAATCCATATAGCCAACCCCACCTAGTGGGAAAAAGGCTTCTTGTTGTTGTTGCTGTTGTTGATCATAGCCAATTAAACCCACTAAGAATCATCTAGTTTGCCAAATATAGATACTCAATAAAGCAACTACCACCATTTTGCTTACTCCCAAAACATGATTTTCAGCTCAATGAAATCAATAACTTGAATGATGTCAATATATATCTACTTCATTGAGGTTCCTAGATTGCTATATCTTGAAGTGAATTAATGAAAACAACTAAGTGAATCGCAAACAATCTACAGCCAAAGAGGTCGGTGATACTAATTAATCAATATTAAGAAATCAAAATATCGCAGGATGACTCTGGAATAGAGTAAAATCTCGATTCAGAACTATTTGATCCTAGACAAAAGAGCCTTCTTTGACGGATACCAACACTTAAAATGAAAAGGTAGCCAAACAACGAAATACATGGCAAGGAATATGACCAAATGATGACGAACAGACCACGCAAGCAATTAAGGAACGCGAAATGATTGCATTCTATTCAATAATATACTGATTGAGACAACTCTGAAAATATAAAGCTAGTACATAGGAAAACCATAATTACCATGAACAAAGGGGTATCGAGATGAAAAATGGCTAGAACTTTATAAAGCAGGGCAAAGATTACTGGATGCAGGTAGCTTCTTATTCCTCTATTCCATTCCCATGTCAAATGGCCATACCTGAAACCAAGAGAAATGGAAACCAATCGCAAAGTAACGAAATTAAAACCAATAAGGTAATAATTTTAGTAATTTCAAAATTAATTGATTTCTTAAAAAGGATCGATTACCCGAAAGTGATCCTATGAGCAACTTCAAGAGCTTGCCAATGTTCATCTGGGTTGAAATATGTCTGCACCAGTAAGGCATTCATCAATCTGAAAACCAAACAAAACCAGAACACTTTCCGCAGCGAAGATCTCGAGTTTGAGATGTGGACTTTATCTTCATTGTCATCGTCCTCAACGGAAATACTGTGACGATTTGGGGTCCTCCTATTCCTTACGGCTGCTGAATTAATGTCAGCAAAAAGGTTCTTTCTTTGCTTCATAGAATTTTATGGCTGAAGGATGTGGAATCGGCCTAAAGGCGAACTGACGAAGGGGTTTTTGTGACACAGAGTTTGCAGAACACGAGGGAAACCTTTAAGAAACTGAAACTGAAACTGAAACTGAAACTGAAACGGTACCGTTTTGCTGCGTCTTTGGACAGAACAGGACAGAATAAGGCTTTGACAGGGAGATCTGTTACGTTCTCTTGATCAAATCAATGAATGATTCAGTCGACAAAATGACCGACTCCTCAGGTACTCTATGGCTTATGCTCATGGCCATTTTCATCAAATTGACTTCTTCCAAGAATAAGGCGTTTTCTTGGAAATACAGAATCGTGGATGCAATATCCTTAGCAGTATTCATAGCATAAATAAATCATTTCTCCCTGTATTTATAAAATAGTAGTACAACATTATATACTTTCAACTTGTTTAATAATAACGCTGTCAATGCATATAATGCTCTTGGATTTATTTCAAGTACTCAATTTTTAACCTCTTGATGTTTTTCTTTCATCATACTCACAGAACGATTATCATAACCGTGGCCTCTTACATCATCAATATTAACATCAAGAAACTTTAATGCATTTAGTAATTCATTTGAAATCCTCAATCCGGAACTATCATCCATATTTAAAACCTCTCATTAACTTTTATTTATTACTCACTACATTTTAAAATATCTGTCGTTTTAGGGTTTACAAAATCTTTTAAAATATATGTTGTTTCACAAATTTTAGGCAAATTTTTTTCTATTTTTCTAATATTACCCTTGCACTGAAAATTAAATTATATTTGAAATGAGTTTCTATTGATTTGTGATGAGTTGTATGGATATTAAATAAAGGTAATTTTGTATTTAAAACACAGAGTTGAATGTTCCGTTGGTTTTGATGAAATTGCTACGAAGACATATATTTTATAAAATAATCTGCTTAAATAGTCATTTACATTTGCCCAAAAACTTAATCTTTAACATTAACCATTCAGTGGTTTGGTCCATTACATTTGTGTTTTCTATTAATTTGGTCTTTTTTTTTTTTTTTTTGGCAATTTACATTTGGGGTTCTCGGGTTGACCATTTTCCGGTCAATTCAACAGGGGTATTTTTGGTAATGGATAATTTCAAATTTTCAAAAATATAAAAAAAAATTGAATGAAAAAATATTAAAATTATTATATTGAATTATAATTAATTAAGATTTTTTGAAAAATTTAGAAATTCAAAATTCAAAAAATAATTTTTAAAAAATATAATTTTTTTAAACCTGTCATCCCTACCTCTAATAGTCCTTATTCTTTTTAACCCGTCAACCCGGCATAAAAGTGAAAGAAGAATGAAATTAGAGCTGGGGTCCACGAGTTTAAAAAAAAAAGAGAGAGAAAATTAGATTTTTTTTAACTTTTCTTTTGAATTTTGAATTTTTAAATTTTATTTTTTTAATTAATTATAAATCAATACAATGATTTTAAAATCAAAATTTATTGTTTTATATTTTAAAAAAATTAAAATTATGCATTCACCGAAAATACGTAAGAGCCCCTAAATGTAAAGTGTAAAAAAATAAAAAATAAAAAGGATCAAATTAGTAAAATACACATATGTAATGGACCCAACCAGTGAATTGTTAATGTTAAGAACCAAATTAAGTTTTTTGACAGGTGTCAAAGACCATTTGAGCATATTACTCATTTTAGAATAGAGGAAATACTTTATATTTTTACACATCACACTACCAAATGTTGGAGTTCTTTTCAATATATTGTAGGGACACAATTAATATGTTGTGTCTATTGGGTGTTTTCAATATATTGTAGAGACACAACTAATAGGTTGTGCCTATAGACTCCATATGAAAAGACATTAACAAAAAGTTGTGTCTAGGACCATAACCAAGGTTTACGTCTAATCCTCAAGAGTTTCCTCTAACTGTATAAATATGGATCATTTGGATGCTTGTAGTGTATAATGAAATCACCAAATACTTGGAATATTTTCAATGACATTTCTTATCCTTATATCAGGTTGTTGGTTCACTAAAGTGCATAGTGAAATAACATGATCTCCATTTTATCTCATAAGGAATTCGCCTAGACAATTGCACTGTATAGTGGGCGAATTTAGCCTAAAGAAAAGCAAGTTTACTTGTGACTTGGAGACAAAACCTTCTTTTATCCTAGCTATAAATTCTTCATCGTGTTCTTTGATCTAGTACAGCCATTGTTGTCCACTATTTTTGAAGTAGAATTCCAATAATCTTTAGGCTAAATTTTCCTGTTAAACAATGGCTAGTACTTGAAGAATCAAGCAAGGATATTTTCGTTGCACACAAAAATGATAGAAATGTTGCAGGTCATTGGATTTAATGGAAAGGGCAATAATAGGATACAATGGACCTCATCATCAAAGTAAGAATTATATTTTACTTGTGAATTGTGACATTTCAAGTTCAAAGTATGTATATATTTAATAAATACATAAACGTAGTGATGAGATCTATGCCTGAGTGGAACATGGTTGTAGAATTCATAAACTTTGCATGTAAAAGAAATTTACTATGCACTATTTGTTGATTGCCCAAATGTGTGGTTTCTATCAAAATAAAATACTTAATTAATATGATGATTAATTAAGAAAATGTATGTCATAAAAGGTTTGATAGAGAATTTGGTCATGTTTATCATGCTTTGAAATGGAAATGCAAAATTATCATTTGATATAGCAATAGTGCTTTGAGTGCATGTTATAAATTTTTATAAAGTCAAAATCTGTTGAATTTATTCTGTGTTTTGTTTGGCTTTGTCGACTTATTGGTCGACTCGAGTAAAGTTGACATAGAAGTTGTCGTTCGTTAAGATGTCTGACTATTTGGCTTTCTCGGCTTGTTCGTCCATAGAATTAAAGTTGACAGAAAAGTCGACATCCGTTAAAGTGTTTGGCTGTTTGGCCTCGTCGACTTAGTCGTCGCCTGGATAAAATCGACAGAAAAGTCAACGGCCGAAACCTAAGAAAATCAAAATAAATAAAATAAATTCTTGTGTGCAGAATTTTGTGATTGCATCACATATTAATTATTTAATTTTGGGTTAATCAAATGAAGAACTTTGATCCCAATAAAGTGCTAATTTCGTGTATTTGTGTTTGTCACATGAAATATTTAATTGCATAAAAAAATTTGTAATTTATATGATAATTTCATGTGATACATAATATGACAATAGTGATATAGTTATGAATTTATATTATATGTGTTAATATATGATTTGAAATTCATGTCTTACTATATGTTTGAGTTACTTATGTCAATACTTTAAAGTTTCCATGAGATTTAACTTGGAACAGTAGTGCCTTGTAACATGTACGCACGGCTCAAAGCTAGTCTACCGGGTTGTACTACAAGTTATGAAACCGACACTAAGGTAGTGGTTAAAGTCTAACGACACCATTATTTTATGCATGGGTTTTGCTGGAATTATTCTGGATCCATTTAAAAATCATTTTCAATATATTGAAAATGGCGAGGGATTGTTGGAGTTATTTTCAATATATTGTAGGGACACAATTAATATGTTGTGCTTATTGGGTGTTTTCAATATATTGTAGAGACACAACTAATAGATTGTGCCTATAGACTCCATATGAAAAGACATTAACAAAAAGTTGTGTCTAGGACCATAACCAAGGTTTACGTCTAATCCTCAAGAGTTTCCTCTAACTCTATAAATATGGATCATTTGGATGTTTGTAGTGTATAATGAAATCACCAAATACTTGGAATATTTTCAATGACATTTCTTATCATTATATCAGGTTGTTGGTTCACTAAAGTGCATAGTGAAATAACATGATCTCTATTTTATCTTATAGGGAATTCGCCTAGACAATTACACTGTATAGTGGGCGAATTTAGCCTAAAGAAAAGCAAGTTTACTTGTGACTTGGAGACAAAACCTTCTTTTATCCTAACTATAAATTCTTCATCTTGTTCTTTGATCTAGTACAGCCACTGTTATCTACTATTCTTGAAGTAGAATTCTAACAGTAAAGACATTGTTCTTTATAACTCACATACGGGGTAAAATCAAGAATGTTATAGAAAAGTATTTTTCATTTTTAATAATCCTAATGATAGAAGTCTTCACATCATACCTAATCAACTCATTTGAATTCTAAGACCTAGATAATGATGGTGAATATCATGATTTTGAATAAGTTAAACATCTTCTTGCATTATGACGTCGAATTCCGCAACAATTTCAACCTATCCCAAAAAGTTACCATCGTTACATTAGTATTAGTATAATTTAAATTTTATTTCTCAAAAAGGTAAATTTTATTATATTATATATTAAGAAAATTTTTTTCACAAGACACATGTCAGTCAATTAGATCATCGATAATTTCAAATTACACGTGTCATCTTCTCATTCGTAGAGAATTTTATGTAGTTTACATGTCATCTTTTAATTCACGAATTTTTTTTTTACGGCACTTTATATGTGCATATTATAAAAGTAAAATGGTAAAATTTCATATAAATTAACATTCACCTATTATCGTTTAATTCCTTAGACCGATTATAATTAGAATTGGTCGTGCAAAATATATCTGGTGATTGATTGGCTAAATCAATCAGGTAGACCCTAAAAATGGGTACGGGGAAGCAATTAGTCCACGCCTTCATCTTCGTCTTCTTCTTCATCATCAAATCCTAATTCCCCCAGCACCACCAACATGCCATCTTCTATTCATTCACCTTCAACAACCGAATCGAAGCCCCAATTGAATCTAGCCCCTGAACCAAAGCAGCCGACATCCAAAGAAGTGTTTTGAACTCACCTCTGCCTTGAATAAGTGGATGGAAGCTAATCGTGATTATTATGCTCCAATTTTGGATGTTGAGACATCATGAGAGGCCCAAGAAGGAATTTGAGAAAGAAAACATTTCTTACATTTGTATAGAAATGTATGGAATAATGAAAAAGAATTTGGAACTTGAAAACTTGAAGTCTTAAAAGGCATGGTAGATATCGGAATTGCATAAGTGGCATAAAGTCACAAACTAAATCCAAGAAGCCATGTATTTTGGGAGATGCCGATGTTGGTTCTGTTGGGGTCGAGGAGATGACGATGAATTTTTTATTTTTTTTTTTGAAAGAAGATCATTATTTTTTGTTTAACTATTCTATCCGCAGAATCAAAAAACTTTTATCAAATCAACACTCAATTAGGGAAGAGATATCCCATCTAACGTAATTTGTGCAAATTTAAACTTCAAACAAAAACAAATTATGGAGAAGATATACTTATCCTAACAAAATTAAATATAATTTGAGTAGTGATAATATTAGTTAGAGGGAGATAATATAATTTTTAATGGTCCATTTGATAATGCCCAAAAAAACATTTAAAAAAATTAATGGTTCAATTGATTAGTCTGCTCCGCAGTTGTCCATCTCTATTTCTCTCCTCTGGCTCTACCGCCCTTGCCCCAGGCCCGCCACCGCCACCGCCACTGACACTGCCACGGGCACTGTCTCTACCTCTTTGTCGTCTAATAAGATCCATCTCTGCAGGTATTCACCTGATAATTGATATCGTTGTTATTATTATCATTATTATTGGCAGATTGAATTCGTTGAATGTATTTTAGTGAAAATTAGGGAGAGAAGAGCACGAAGATCGGTGAAGATGTTTTGAAAGGAAAGCCAGAACAAGGAATAAGGAGGTTGCGACCAGGGAGAATACACCATCAATCTGCACAGGCGCCTGCACGGATGGAAATTTAATAAAAAGGATGCCAAGCCGTTAACAAGATCGGAAAGTTTATCGATGATGATGAGTGGTTTCGATTAAATAGCAAATTTTTTTGGTACTATTATTTAGATATGAGCGTTTTAATTCGCATATTGAACGTCGATATCATCTCTTTGTCGACTAAATCAGAAAGAACCCTAACACTTTTTATTATTTGTTTTGTTCTCTCTCCTATATATATATATATATATATATATATATCATCCGCATATTTTCACGCACATCCTCATCCTTATGCATACAAAGGGATTGCAAAAAACAAGCAACTACAACTTCATGTTCAAAAATCACAGGTGTTATTATCGTCATGAATTTGATAGCTTTACTAGCCTAATAAAAAATCACTGGAAATTCAGAATTTTTTTGTATTCATGTTGTGAGTTTTATGTAGAGAAACAGCCCTGATAGCTAGCTGGTGAACGAAGTACCATTCTTGGCTTCTCTTTTTTTTTTTTTTTTTTGGTTCAAAAGTGGAATCATAGTTGTTTTTTTTATAAATGCTGACGATGATGATTATTTTGCAGAACGAATTTTCTTGATGGTGTAGCAAAGTGATGCTGACGAATTGGGTTTATACAAATCTGAAATGGTGGCCGAGCTGCTAGCGGCGTAAAAACTAGAGGGGGTTCTTCACTTTCAACTATCCTTAGGGCTGCCGAAGACAAGAAGAGCTCATCGAAGAGAAAAAGCTCAAGAGCAATTACTAAATCGTGGTAGTGAGTATATCAATCGTTAAGTTTTCTTGAGATTTCCTTGGTCTAAATTTTTTTCAGAACTTTGTGTCTTCTTCGGTTTGATTTTTTTATTTTGTTGTTTCTGAATTGGTAGGCTCTCATGGCGAATGAAGATTTCCTGCACATTCTGCGTATTCAGAACACCATCGATGGGAAACAGAAGGTGATGTCTGCCTCGACTTCGATCAAGGGTATTGGTCGCCGTTTTGCTTATATTGTCTGCAAGAAAGCCGATGTGAACATGAACAAAAGGTTTAGCCTCTTCGCCCCTTTCTGCGACGCGGATTCCTGTTCTGTGATTTTTTTTTTTTTCTCCTTTTTGCTGTTTCTGGAGCTTGAAAAGATTTGAGTCGTTTGGGTTTGCTATTTGGTTTTGAGCATGTGTTATCCCAGATAATGTCCAGTAAATGTCCATAATTTTATATTTTCTTTATAATTCTCGAAGTTAATTGCCTACTCACATATAGAGTGAAAATCTCTTTTATCAGCTTCTCTTAAAAATACGGATGGGAGTTTTACTCTTTGTATTTCCTTCTAATTAATTTTTCTTAGTGAATTTGTTAACAAGCCGTCAAGATCGTAACTGGTAAGAGCAACTCCACATTAATTGATGTTTCCATTCACCAATTTGTAGTAAAAAATAGTTAATATATAAAATAAGATAACTGATGCATATTTTACACGAAAAAATGGCAGCCCAACATCTGGAAGATTTGTGTTATTGCATATGGTGAACACATGTTTATGAAATCATTTAGTTCCAGTTTGGCCATTAGCGTCAAATGGGTCCATTGCCTAACAATAGAATTTAATATATTGGTGGTAGATTGATCATGGTACGGGCATGTTCTCTATATTTCTTCTTTGTATGCCATAATTAAGTACAAGTGTCGTACCTTTTTTATGACTTAGTATCTGCGATTTTTTCGGCAGAACAACTTGCAACTGGTGATCAACTCCAGTTGAGTTGAGGAAGATGATGATTATTACTTAATTATAGTACTTAGGATTATTTATGTTTGTTTATTTCTAAAAAATATGTTAATTATATCTTTTTGTTTCGTCTTCATTCATAGACTTTCGATGGAAATTAGTTATCTTTTTTCCGAATTCAAGGATGTCGATCTACTTTAAACGAAGAAGAAAAATGAAAAAGATCCTGCCCACCGTTGAAGGGGATGAAAGATTTCTTATGATTAAGAATCCCACCATTTTCCTTTCATGTTTAAATATGGCCTTTTCTTTTTAGTTCCATTTGTATGTTATTATCAAATATTTGGTGATGGGAGATTAATGATCTTCATGGGCCGAACCCATTAAAAGAAATTAAATATATTACCACATGTCTCTATTTATATGTATCCGCTCCATTTCTGAGATGTATAGAAATCTTAATATGATCGTTTTCATTTGCAGTTAGAGAAAACCAAATATCTAAAACTAAGACAAGATTTGACGTTAGAAATTGAAAAATTGAAAGCCATACTCATATATATCTTAAAGTGAGCGAGAGAAAAAAAAGTTTAAAAAAGTTGGAAGGCGAATTCAAGCAAAACAGTAAAACTATTTTGTAGTGTCTTTGTAACTATACAAATCTTTTCACAAAAAATTTATATTCACATAGTACTATCAAAATAAAATACTCCCCAAAGTCTGAAAATGGTAATCCACATTGTATTTTACTATTTTAATTAAAAACACTATTAATACAAATCCACATTGTATTTTACTATTTTAATTAAAAACACTATTAATACAAAAAATAATGTGGACAATTTATTTAGTTTAATAAGAGTACTATATCACCGCACAACGTACATATGCAAAATACTAGTTTTTTTTAGAAAGATATTTCACGATAGATATTATTCTCTTCGATGCTTGTCTCTAACGGTTTATTATCTCTTATAATCTCATTTTGCAAATCTCTATCAATTGTTTGATAGGTCGTTAACCTAGCTCTCATCTCTCATTCTATGTGTTAATGTTAGTGATTTGTTCAACGCTATTTTCTTAATTTTTTAGACATGATGTCACGAAAAAGAAAGCTGTAAATCCACTTTCGCGCCTTTCACTAAAATACCCCAAATGGAATAATAAAACACATACGACACTAACACTAATTTTCATTCAACCCGAATAAGTTTTTTTTCTTGTAGACAACATTCTATTACCAAGTATGTTAATCAAATACAGTATGTTAAAGAGCAAAACACAAAAAGATTAAATCTCAAATCTGAAATACCAAAAAGACTAAAATCAGGGTCCTACCCTAACAATTGAGAATTCAATTAATAATGACCCCTCCATATCATACTACTAATAATTCAGAACTCAATGGTAACAAGAAATGTAAAGAACTTCATGCCCAAAGCAGAGTTAGTACAAGGAAGACCACAAAAGCCAGTCCAAAGCAGAAGCCAGCTATTGCCATGAAAGCCTGAGAGAAGGTGGCAGGCACAAAGACATTAATTTCCTCCTCAATAGGCCAGGCAGCAAAATATTTTTGTTGGCCAACTTTAGTTACCTTTCCTTGTGATTCAAACTTAAATTTTACAGTGAACCATGACAATCCCCTGTCAACTGCGGGTGCCAGTGCTAGAGCCCTGTACAAGAAGCAACAAAGAGCTTTCAAATTTCAAACTTCTATACATTTGTACAATATAAGGGCAACTATGCAAGTTGAAGTATTCTTGGGCAACCGTGTTACCTAATGATCAACAACATCAGCAAGCCATTTTTCCCACTAGGTGGGGCCGGCGAGTTACCTAATGATCAGACCTACCATTTATGTGGGATCATCATATGAATCACATGGCGATTTGGCCGTAAGAAAAGATAGATTTAACTAATAGCCACTAACCTTCAAAAGACAATGCTTTAGAACTTTTGCCGCTGGATTTTAAACTTGTGTCCTCATCTAAACATGATCTAAAAAGGGTTCTTAAAACTTGCTCAAACGTTATATTACTTTTTTGTAGGGAGTCTTGCTCAAACGGTATATTCAGTGATCTTAAATTGCTTAGGTCAAATAACAAATGCAGAAGCAGATCAACATCTTAATCATAATCACTAACATAACCGTACGATGACATGGAATAGAGTTTATTGAGACATTAGACTTGTGACATTTTCATTGAAATTGGTTACCTACATACACAAGCAACCTGACCTTACCTTCTAAAAGTTGCATTCAGGAGTCTATAGCTACCTCAACATTCTACATGGGATCCAGATTATCCTAAGTTAACATCCATGAAAAGCAAGTTGTTTAGCTATGTAACTAAGTGAGGCCTTTATATGATCATTGCATCAATGCCTTGCCAATCATATTATAATGGTTAGGTTCAAGCCCAAAACCTTAACGTTGGAAGGAATGTGGTAAGCCAATCATATAATTCCAGGTTTTACCACCTGCCCAAACTACCAGACCCTCTAGACTTAGTGGTAAGCCATCATATCATAACGTTGGAAAGAATGTGAAACATACTTTCTTAGCATTCCTGTTTTCTACATCATTTATTTACCACCTTATCCGCCCCTTTCTTAAAGTTTAGCAAGTATCTGAGATTATCATCTTTCCCTAACCTTGTCGATGAATACAAAGGTAAACTTTACAATGCGAGTTGAATTTGACAGCTTACCCTCCTGCTCGGATAAGCTTAGTTACTTGGCTACCAGCCCAGACCATAGCCAATACCTTAAGCAATCTGCAGACAGCAAGACCGTGAGTGAGATATCTAGATGGTAATCTTATCATAACAAACCTTAGGAAGAATGTCCTAAAAGAAAAAGTAAAACCTCGAGTTCCTAGAAAAAGAACTAAACTTCACTAACTAAAGCTTTTTTAATCTTCACAAACAAACAGGTTCTCATTTTTATTTGTTTCTTATTTTCTGAAGCTTTCAGAAACAATCTGAGACACAGAGAGGCGAACCTTTCAGCAGCTCCAACGTAGCCCATTTTTCCTGGAACAGGTGCAACATAGAGCCTGAAAAGGAATTGGCATGACAGATTTTGATCTAACTCAAAACCAGACTTAAATAGGCAAAACAAACAACAGTCTAGCAATGTACTGGAATTATACTAATACAAACTTCAGAAATTGTTGGCCCGAAGAAAGGTCCGAACACTGATGTGATTGAGGACCAATTGCCAGGTGTCATACTTATTTTGTTCCTAAAAACTTTATGAGAGCAAGGTGTCAAACTCAATCTTTGAAATAGTTCTTTAGAGGAGTTCAAGAGAGAGTAATTTCAGTTATTCAGTGAAACAAAAGATACAGGAAATTTCCAACGGCAGTTGATGCCATATGCTGAGAGATGTCTATTTAAGATTTGGGTTTGTCTCTAAAATAAAAATCAATATCAGGAGAGTCACAAGTAAATTAAAAATATTTATGCTTCGAAGAATCTACTACTTTGAGATAGCGTGAACAACATAAACAGATAAGAAAAATCATGACGAAATCACATTGCTGAAACCACTGGCCAAACAACAGCCATCTGACTGTATTTCGAACGTTTAACAAAATCTATGATAAAATCTTGTGACAACTTTCTGAAATTGCATCAAGGAAAGAAGTGAATTTCTATGTTCATACATACGGTGAACTACACTAAGCCACTAACTCCAAGAAATTCCAAATATCAACACCTAACACAGACCAGACAATCACATGTTTATTGCAGTTCCTATTAATTCAATTGATTCATACACGGTGTTAATTATTTCAAACTACTCACCACACAAAGAGAAATGTTGAAAGATAATAAGCAGTGTTTAGGAGGCCATATGATAACACTCCGGATACTCCGTATCTCTTCAATTTCTTCAAGACCCTAAACAATAATACAAGAAAGGACAATAAGGTTTCAGAAGGCTTAAAAAATTCATATGCAACCTAACCCCGGGAGGGGGGGGGGGTGTGGTGTGGGACAGTATCAATGCATCACATGAAACAATGTAACAATGTTCATATTGCACATGCTAAGAAACACATTCTTTAAGTTCAATACAGTCCATGCACACAAATGTTGTACAGTCACAGAAGTTTAAACTGGAGCTTTAACACCAAAACTTGCATTCGTTATATTAATCGAAGGAAAAGCAATAATAATGGCTTATAAAACTATCAAACATGACCAATAAATCAACCCACTAGAATCATAGAGAAAATGATGCCCAGGCTAAACATTGCAACAACATATATTGTGGAAATTTAAATTTGCATATTAAGCATAAATGTTGCTCCAACTTATCAAAGGGATGTGCAGAACTGATTTATAAATATCAACTCCATTTAGAGGTTTTTCCTTAGATGTAGAAATACACAGGAAGCTTATATATCAGCATAAGAGTGAAATTTTCACAAACCACTGTCTTTCAATCAGAGAATTCAAACTTATGTCAATGGAGTAGCAGTTGAAAAACAAAAATCAAGGAGGATGAATAAAGCAACTTTTTAGCAGGTGCAACTTTTTAACAAATGAAGTACCAAGCAAATGAAAGGAAACTCAATAATTGAGAACGAATTAGACTGCAACAGAAACAAGCAGAAAGTACTCGGAAGTTGTGAGAGACTCTTTCTGATGATTGTCTTTTCCCAGGGAATCTAACAGATTACGATAAAAAAATCATCAAACTTCCATAAGCTCAAGGCAAAGCATAATTATTAGGACGAGAAGAAACATATGGCCTAAATAGGCCAACAATGGTATGAGACGAATGTACCTGCCTGCTCCTCAGAACTCATTTTTGACGACCCTTTCACCTAAGGTTGCCAGAAAAATTAGCAAAAATCACTAATAACAAATGTAATGCTGTGAAAGTAACAAATAAATCTAGCTTAAAACTCTCCAGAACGAGTAAGAAAATGTTCCACGGTTCATGGTCCAGGATTGACCATTGTACTGAAGAGAAGGTGATTTCATAAATGTAATTACGTACAAGCACGATGGTTTATCAGATGATTTTGATTTCCAATATGAATTATACATAAACCCAACCAGTAATTATACAAAGTAATTATTTCCAATATGAATTATTCACACTAACGGAAATTGCTTGACCAAAAAAGACAATCATAAACTTGACATATTCTTAAAATTCAAAATAACTTGGCAACTACTGGAGGTGACATAGACCATAAATAATACAAGCACTTGAAAAAACAATACGGGCTTGTATATTCAGCACATTTTTTCCAAGTTGCTCTCTTGTTGGGAGCCAAACCAATGCATTATAACATTATAAGTTGATATGAGAAGTTTCTTAGCATTTTAGAGGGAAAAAAGAAATAAAATTTGCTTAAAACCAAAATGAGACTTAACCCTTCCAACAATCCCTTTCAACCAAGCAAACAGAAATGACATTCCATAACAATGCTGAACTTTGTTGAGACTACTAAAAAAAAACAAAAATAAACAGAAAACCTCACAGTTTCAGGGTCGTTCGAGGAGCATAATAATCGAAATTGAAGTAGATGATTTGAAGCAGAAAATCCCATTTGTCTCCTGTACAGGCGAAAGGCATCAGGGGGAATCGCAACGGGAATCCGCGCCTTTGGAGTTTGGTCCGCCAAGCAAAATCCCAGCGCCAAATAGAAAAGAAGTCAGTTAAACTCCACAAAATTCAAGGGGCATTTAGAATTGTATCAAATCAAGATGAAGAATGTGTACCCTTTGGAGCGGCGAATAACTAAGCAAAGCGGCGGATTTGCAAGATAACAATGGACTAGTTCTCCAACCGGACCACATTTTTTGAAAATGAAAAGACGCTCTGGTTCCCCCACTGCAGGAATTTCGAACCGAGAAGATAGTGTATGAAAGTGGTTAAAAAAAAGAAAGCTGTGGAGGACTAAAAGTGTTAAAAGTCCAATTTGAGGACTGAAACTGCTGATTGAACAAATATTAGGAACTACAAATGTAATTCTCTCATGATCTCCCGCTTTGTTATGACATCATACTAGTATGTGTCCCGTGCGTTGCACGATGGGTTTCAGATATTATTACGATAATTAAATTATAATGACATTAATCATCCTTAAAAGTTTTAATATAAACAGTTGATGTGTATTATTAAATATCTTATACAAAAAAAAAAATCGTATAGATTCAACCAAACACACAATAGTTTAATTTAATGCTCTTTAATCCTAAAAATAATTTAATTTCATATTGCTGCTTTAATTCAAGATAGTAAACTATTTTTGTCATCATATGATGACATAAAAGTGATGATATGAAATATTCCTTTTATCTTAAAATGATTATCTAATTTTTATTTTTTTGTTTTTCATTTTAGAACATTTTGTTGAAAAGTATTAACATATTCTTTTTTCCTCCTACTATGAAATAAAGAGAAATAGTTTTCCTTTAAACTAAAAAGTAGGTATCTCGCTTGAAAATCCAAGTCCTTATTGTTCCATTAAATGCCAAAAACAACATCTCCTTTTTCTTATTAGAGGAAGAATATAATGTTCATTCGAACAACAAAGTATACATGCAGCATAATATTGTTTTAAATGCTTCAAGATATATGATAACTTCTATCACCATAATTCTTTTTTTTTTTTTTTTGGTTTTTTTTTTCTTGGTACAAGGTCATCATCGTAATTCAAATGTCAAGGAGACAATATTATGAACAGTAACACATTTCAAATTTGAGATAAGGAATATCTCGTCAGCAGCTAAAAGAATGGAAAACTACCAATATTAAGTATTTGATCGGTATAGAAAATTATCTACATAGCTTAATGTGTTTAGTATGAACCCAATAATCCGCTATCATATTTGTTTTAAAGAACTCAAAGATGTTGACTAATTTACAAAATGGAATGACAACTCATGACAAATCCCAAACAAAGAAATTAATCCAAATCGAGTACAAATTGTAATCCACTAAAGTTAAGATTTTTTTTCGTTCGTGAAAAAAAAGATAGTTAAACCAAATTGCCTACCTATTAAAAAACAAATAAAATAAAATAGAATGATACCATCATATCGTTCCAAAATTCAAATTATCAAATATAATCATAACATATTTATATAATTTATATTTATAATCATTAATTCATAATCAAAAGGATAACGTATGCGGCACAATTGCACAATTAATGTCCTTGAAAATATACAAATTGATGGACTTGAAGAACTAAGTAACACATTAATAAAACTTAAAGTAGAATTGACAGCCATGTGAAAGTTTAAAATTTTACATACAAGGGCTTCTGAATGTGGGGGTTTTTTAACAATTTTAAAAACTTATCATCTTCAACCTCCCGTAAAAAAATTTGCCAGCCAAAGGGAACCGCTGCCGTTGAATTCCGATCTCGCATTCTAGTGCACAAAACTCATCGTTCTTTACACCAAAATGATCCCCATGATGAGTTCTACAAAACCGATATCTCAATTCCACTCATTTATACTGGAATCAGAGTATATGAGATCGAACCGAGAATTTAGTCGGAACTCAATTCACTCAGTTGTCATTTTGTTTTTACTTAGTCATTTTTTTAGTAATTCCTCTTTTACTTTGTATCTAATTTACAGTTTTCTGTTCCAAGTCCAAAGTGCCCCATTAATTAGTTTTACTTCACTTCCAATTTACTGCCCGTAGGTCCACCATTTTCATTGCTGAACATCTCCTCTCGCCGGCCATCATCTCCGATCAGTAGCCTCAAACCATCAGAATCACCTTTCATTTCTTCCGTAGCTGCGGTGCCATTAGAAAATGTCGCTGCCCAATTCATCTCCTCAATTCGTCTTCATCATCAACCAATTCAGTTCGGAGTCCAATGATCAGTGGCTCGAAAATTTTTAATCCCTATACTCTCTGTTCGCCACTGTCAAAAGTCATCTTTTCACTGAAATTCTATCGGCGAGCAAGCTCAGAACACTGCCTACAAATATTTTTTTTTTCCAATCTTTTTCATAATTTTATTCTTCTTGTCATGTCCGGATTTTAAATTTTGTGCTTGATTTTATTCTCTAAGAATTGAGATATTTCTTTTTCATGTGTTAAGCAGAGTAATTTAGCTACCGAAATCAACTCTATCCAAACTTTTTCTTAAAACTCATTATGCTGTTAAGCACATCAATGTTGGCGTTCTGCCGTTCATCACTAAACCTTCTACTATTCATCGGTCATTCATCGTTTGACGTCCAACCATTTTGTTGTTTCGTCCGTTCAGCGGCTACATTTTTCTTTTCGACAATTAGTAATTTTTTTTCCAGAGTTAATGGTGGTTATTTAGATGAATTAACAGTTAATTTTTTTTACTGTTTAATGACTATCCAATGAGATAATAACACATGTCACTGAAACTATTGATTGGCCAGAATGGACGAAAATATTATCGATTAGCCTCCGATAATATTAGTGAGTGTCGGGAGATTGATTGTTATTACTGTGAGTTTTGAGCATTTACAGTTAATCAAGTGAGTCTAAAATACTCCTAATTTCTACTTTACGGTCAGAACTCTGACTATCAAACTGAGCCATCTAATAAGTTGATAGCATGATAATGAACAAAAAGCAAACGGATCATTCCAAGTTGAAACACGCATTAAACCTTATTCAAGATCCCTTTACGATGTTCTCCTCAAAGAAGATCAAAGTCGGTTATACTATTTACGATATACACTAGTGATACTGTGATAGGATTCTCTGGGTTGGTTCATTTCCAATGGTTTGATAAACCATGTATGTACAGATATGCTTTTGTTAGGATGCAAAAATTAGCTTCTCTAACCAAAAGACTACTGCTGCTGCATTATGGTGCGTTGAAAACAGCTAGCAGCTCTCTCTGCCTTTCTCAGAAGGGAACAGAACAGATTACCCATATTCTGCCTTCGCAGACTAGATATCTTTGAAATGCAAAAAAAAAAAAAAGAGGCTACAACATCGACATTGGCACTTGGGACAGTGATGGACAAAGTTGTACTGGACAGGTGATCGATCCCATCGGATGATCGGAACCAAAGGGCAAACACATGATTAACTTCCCGTCAAATTTATGGCCAAATGAAGTAGGATCAATCTGAATCAGGTCCTACTTTTAGGAATCCTGGTCAACTCAAAGCACCAGGTATATATCATTTCCAAGGACTGAATCCTTGTGAGGGTATATGTTATGATGGAAGTGACAGACAGCCATTACCTTGGCATACAATACACAGTACCCACCAGTGAGATAAGAGCATGACTTCCATTTCCACTTTCGGAACCAGGAAGTTTCAAGTTTAGTATTGTTCGTTTACCAGACCTCACAACTTAGATTTTATCAAAGTATGGATCGGCTTATCATATGCAAAGCGTAGTGGCGCAAATCACGTTTACTAATATCTTCTTCTTTTAAATCCAGACTCTTCATTAAAGGCATCATCTTGCCAGACCTGCCCAGTAGTATGTCTGTAACTTCCTTCTTGATCATCGATTTCACGAATTCGTCGTGGAGCAACCAATTGACGATTCTTCATTCTCCCATCAAAGTCCCTTTGATTGATTCCCCTTCCAGCAAATTCTGTATCCATGTCAGGATGAAATCTCAACGGCCGAGGGCTATCATCTGATTGAAACCGGATATGGACATTACCACTATCACCTACTTGTGCCGGTCCAAATGGACGAGTCAACCCTCGCCTCTCACCACACTTTCTTCTCTCATCACTACAGGCATCTGAATTGAACTCATGAAATCTGGCGGAACTTACTGGCCTCCCAAAGAAATTAGCATCATCATTTGACCGAGTTGGAGGATCAAAATCATCAAGTCTTCTGTTGCTTCTATTAAAGATTCGTTCAGGTGGGCTCCGTCTACTCGAGTTGATAGGTCTTCGACCATGATCTCTTCCAGAATCTACATCCCTTGAATCATTAAAAGGGCGAGCCATGTAAGACGGTGAGTTACGCCTCCTAGCAGCCATTTGTTCAGGGAAACAAGGACGATCGGGGGATCTCATCCTCTCCACGCCATACATCGCTGGTGATCTACGCTGTGTTATGTGCGGAAGTCGATTAAACCCATCAGGAGATCTCCTTCTAGGAGAAGCCCATGAACCAGGGGACCGTGTTTGCCGTCCGACAGGAGACTTTGACCGAACTCGAGGGAAACCACCCCTCCGAAATGTAGAGAAGTTTCTGTTGCCTTGGATAAACTGACTATCACCTCCCTCATACATTCTATGTTGTCGAGTATAAGGATGATCAATAACACCATCAGATAGAACCCTCACAAACTTCTCATCATGCCGGAGACCAACCAATCCAATCCCATTTTCACTATTTCGAGTTCCAGGGCTGATATTCCTTGGCATCCTGCGAAGCACTTCAGCACCCCTACCAGCAGGGCCCTCTCTACCACCAGGGGAAAACCTTCTTGAAGATGCATGACGATATGAAGGCAAATCGTTATTCAGAGACTTCCTTCCTCTACCAGTGTTTAAAGCACCACCATCAGGTGCAACAAGATATTCATCACAATCAAGTTTGGCATCAGAGATATCTGCTGCATGTTTGCTACGGGTAAAGCGGTAATCATCTCTGTAACTTCCCTCGGCAAAGTCACGGCCAGAACCCCACTCACTTCGTGAGGTATTGAAGCGACCAGAAAACCTTCCTCTTCCCCGTGAATAGTTTCCCCTGGAGTTCCTAAATGACTGATCTTGGATCCTTTCTCTACCAAATCTGTGAAAACCATCAGTGTCCATTTCATCTCTGGAAAATGCAAGAAACACAAATCACAAAAAAATTTCAACCAGCCATCGAAAATCATTTGAAAAGATGAAAAGTACAGAAAAGCACTCAGAATATGATCACCTATTTCCTCGCAGATAAAATTTTTCCCCATCTAGATCGTAGTACCTTTCTCTTCCATTTCGTGATGATGGTAACTTATCTGGAACTTGCTTTGTTTTACAGGGAGATCTTGCAGACGCACGAGGCAAACTGATAATACGGCCCCGATTACCTGCATGGTTTGAATCTTCTGCAGCATTAGTATCATTAGAAGATGCTTCAACATGCAAAGATGAACTAGGCTTCTCAGCAGTGTCAACTGCTGCTTTAAATATTTCACCTTTGGCCTCGCAAGTTGTCATAGCAATCCTACATCCTGAACTAGTACCTTCAAAAGATTTATCTTTCACAGCGCCCTCTGTTGAAGATTTATTACCACTGTTGTCCGCCAAATTTATTTGATCAGAAATACATGGTTCCTTCTCGTGGACAACAGTTTCATTCGTTTCTGCCTTTTCTTCTAAAGACAAGTTGAGTGAAGGACCATCTTTATCAGAAAGCGGATCATAATTTTCAGTAGGGACAAACCCAACATTCTCCGCAAACTCACCTGAATTTGAATCATCATGGATTTTCAAATCATTGTCTTTAATATCAGGTTGGAATTGGTCAACGTCGTCGCGGGTACCAGATTGAGGATCATTAGTTTTACACTCAAGCTTATCACTTTTCACTCTAATTTCATTGGCAGTAATCTTAGAGGCCATTCCAGATTCCCGAACCTCACCATCTTCATATTCTTCATCATCTCTCACACATCTATTTGGTTTCTCAATGCGACTTGCAGAAACCTGATTACCATCAGATTCATAATCAGAGTCGTATGATTCTTCCATTAGTTCCGCAGATATGTTGAGTTTCTCTTCATCACTCACCGAACCTTCTCCGCTTGCATGCAAATTTTGCAAACGTTCTTTTACACTTTCAGTCTTGGAATCATCGACATTCTTGTCCTCTATGGCTCGGTTTCCGACCTCACTACCGGTCAGAACTTCATCACGGCTACCAGAATTTGGAAGATTGGGATTCATATCTGTAGCAGATTGTGCTATGATATCAACACCCAAATGACATTCTTTAGTATGAACAGAAAGATCAGATTGACTTGAAATATCAGCACTCATGGACAACTCGGACGAAGCAGGCGGCCTTGACGGAGAAGGATTTGGAGGCGTTACAGGCATTGCTAAAACAGAAGAGGAACCACTCTCTTGGGAGTGGCCAAACTTCACAATCAATTGCTGCCGCGTTGAATCTGGTGCTCCACTAATAGCCACACAAGCTTCACCTGTAGGTTCTGCTTTAATGCACTTTGGTCCAGTTAGATTGTGGGTGCTGCTAGCTGTCAGTTTAAGAGCCTGAATGTTTTCCTTATCAACAGGTTCCTTCTTCAAAGAGCTGGCATCTAATAACTTAGTCGAAACACTTAAAGTTCCAGCAGGATTAGGTGAGGAATTCTCCTCAGAGGGTTCAGATTTAACAACTCTAATATCAGATGAAATCTTATTTTTCAATGATTCCTCAACTACTCTATGCAGATATGCAACATCCCCTCCTGCTACGTTCTTTGTTAGACCCGACAGAACTCTGCCATAATCCTTATCTTGAAAAGATGGACTAAGAGTCAAACGGAGTGAATCTTCAGAATGTGGGATAAGCTGCCTACAGGAATTTGGAAAACTAGATCGGGGCATGCTTGTTGGAATAACCTGCTTTCCCTTCTCGCTCAAAGATCTGACAACTGGAGAGAAGCCTGAGAAAACTCTACCACTGTTTGGATCTGTTTTCTCTGTTGACCCAAGAACATCAAATCGAAAACCAGCATCAGGAGCAGTTCCCTCCCAATCATCCATTGTAGTATTCAAGTCCCAATTTGATCTATCAGCAGGCCGAATTTCACCGTGACTTGTAAGGCTAGCATCACCAATTCTATTTTCAACTTCTTTGGTTAATGACAAGGACAAAGCAGGAGCAGGTACACTCCTATCAACATTGCTCTGCAAGTTTGGATATCCAAAACCTGACACGAGAAACTCTTTCGTTCCCAATTTATTTTGATCATTACCTGAAATTACAGAGAGTTTAGGATTGCCGTCGTCCATTTGTTTGCTTTCCATCTCTTTCTTCACACTCACCAAAACAGCAGCTCCAGTGATTTTTGGAGCTTCTGAAGCAACAGTTTTTCCAGTCAATGATAAAAACCCAGCTCCGCTTTCCGAACTTACTTCCAGAAGTTTTGGCCCAGACATTTTCATAACTGAGTTAGACAAATGAACACCTGGAGCAGGAACTATTTCTTTCTTGACTTCCCGAAGATTAGTATTACCCACATCTGAATTTCCAGGATATTTCTCAGTTACGTTACTATTCACAGACCCTTGATCTGAACGTGATTCTTCTGTGACACTAGAACCAAGCAGTGATTCAACTTTATTCTGTAAATTTGATCCAGCTGCTTCTGTATTCCGCGTGTCTGCCTTATATTCTTGCTTATCCTTTTGAGAACAAGATCCTTCCTTTTCCTTAGAATCCGATCTAAATTCTTCTTTAAGCTTCAAATCAGACCCAGATTCTTCATTAACCTTGCCATCAGATATCCCCAAAAGTGCAGCTGGAGGTTCATTACAGGGAGGAGAGGGAGGAGGATCCAACAAGAACCTCCTTTTCTTGAGAGGAATCCCAGAAGAAATATCACTAGACAACCGAGCAAGAACTTTAGCCTGCAAACACAGAGAAACCCCATAAAGAATGCTGCTGCTACATGGTCTAATTTTCCATCGAAGCCATTAAAAAGCCCCAGGTCAACAAAAAAACAGAATCTAAAAAACAATTGGCAAACCTCTTCATTCCCAGAAACCGGCATCCTCCTCAAAGCAGCTGAATACTCCTGAAATATCCCTCTAATAAAACCCAAGTGCCAAAGCAAAAAAGAACAGTATTTTCTAATAACCTACTCTACAGCTGAAGAAGATGACCCCTTTCGTGAGAAGTCCCCTGCACGAACAAACCCGTCTTATCACAATCAAACGTCTGTTCAATCTAGAAACCCACAACAAAATGACCCAATAAATAACAAATGCTTCTCAAGTGGGTTTAGGTAGGTTGGGTGGTAGAAGAAATACATCCATCACCAGCCAGGTGGGTAGCACAAATCATCAGTTAAATAATTAGAAGAGTAAAGCACGTCATATCATCAAGGGAACCAAAACCCACAAGGCAAAGGCAATCAAAATTATCTGGATTCTATAAAATGGCGTGCATTCTTAAAAGCAAAGCTCACGAACAAAAAAAACAAAGTTCAAAAATGGAAGCTTTCCCCAATTAGGCTGAAAAAGAAAAAAATGATTTTCATCCGCACCGACAGCCTCTATGAAGATAACCCATCAATAATCTAATCAAGGAAAGACGAAAAATCGGTTCAAAGCAACGAAACACCAAGAAAACACAATCCGGGCCAGATTACACTTTTCGTTGGTAAAACGGCATCCAAATCCCGAGCTAAACGCAATAGTCGGATCCCAAATAGATTCAACGCTGAAAAAGCGCAACCAAACAAAAAAAAGAAAGAAACACAAATAAAGCAGCTATTCCCATGTTTTCACAAAATTAACACAGCTCAGAGGGATAATCAAGGAGGAAGAAGCAGACAACCTTTCTTCTTCTTTTCTTCCTAAAACACTGCTAAAAGTGTCAGGTGTGAATGGAAGGAAATTTCAGTCGGGAAAAACAAGAAAACAGAGAATTGAAAATGGGAGGAAGTGGTTGTGTGGTGGGCGGTGGGTAGGCTTTTGGTAGTTTCCAAGTAATTTCCCACTTTTCCAGACCTCTGATTTTGATTGGAATTGATTAGGGTTTGGTCTTTCAATGCATTGAATGAAAAATGGAAGAAAGAAATGAATTATTGGGGGGCATTTGGGTTATTTAATGCGTGATTTTTTTTTAATTATTAGGATAATTTTAGTACTAGAAATTCATGTTTGTCGTATATTTGACTTTAGGTAGCAGATGCTTTCCCATATGGGGTGGGGCCAGGATGACCCTCGTTGGCGGCAATTTTATAATATTGGGATTTGATTAATAATTTTTTTTTGTTGCAGATAGCGGAAATGTCACGCTAGAATACGCGTGTGATTAGGAAGTGCGACGTGCTCAACTAAACTGAACCCCAACTGGGTATCCCACCTCTTGCTGCTTTACTGGTTGTGTCAAATTGTCCGAACTGATAATAATAAAATAAAAATGTACTCTGTCGAAAATAATCTTTCTTTTCCTTTTTTGTTTCCACAACGAGAGAAAGTTATAATGCCTAAAATTACATTAGCACATCTCTAAGATAGATGACTTTTATCATAGAGTAAACTGCTCAAATAGTAATACTTTATATTTGGCAAAAAAGAATTTTTGGTCTTTCACATTAATAATTAACTGGTTCGGTCATTTATATATGTATTTTATGCTAATTTAGTCCTTTTTATTTTCTTTTTTTTTTATCATTTGCATTTTTGGAATTCTCAAATTGACCATTTATTGGCCAAGTTAATGAAGGTATTTTTGGTATCTTTTAATTCTCAATTTTTTCAAAAATACTAGAAACCCAAAAATTGATTAAAATAATATAAAAATATTGTATTAATATTATATTAATTATTACAAAATAAAAAATTCTAAAACTCAAAAATTACTTTTTTTAAAAAAAAATCTGAGTTATTGTGGACCCACGCATGATTTATTCTTTACCCTTAGTCTGTAATTTTTTTTCTTCTTTCCCCGTCAAACAACCAACCTAATTACTAAACCCCCCAATCTGATATTCAAGAAGAAACCGGACCAAAGCGTAGAATTGTTAATGTAAAGGACCAAAATAAGTTTTTTGGCAAATGTAAATGACCATTTGAGCAGTTTACTCTTTATTATATCACGTATCAACTATAGTTTGAGCCACCAAAATAAAATTCCAAATTCTCGAGTTCCTTGAGTTGTTAATGATACCATATAGTCTGTGACAAAATCAGTTTGTCGATACACATGCTTGATCTTGACAGACCAATCAAACTTCAACAAGTCTTTAAGCCCATACACCATACCAGCATTAACCCCAAAGATCTCTTTTCCACCTTGATAATAATACTTTCTTTTTTCTTTTCTAAAAGAGATCAATAGTGGTTTCCCCCTTACCCTCGGCGTGAATCGAATCCGTGATCTATTGAAAACAGGGAAAGCGTTTTAACACTAGACTGCACATCATTGTCACACCTTGGTGATAATACTTTTATTATCAATTTTAATCACAACTTTCCTTCCAGCAATTTCCCAAACTAATGCCAATGCTTAGAATAGTCCTCACAATTCAACTCTTGTTATCGTACAGAATCCCATATTCATAGTAAAACTACCTAACTACTTACATTGGCAGTCTCTACACCCCTGTCCGCATTTGCCATACCAGTGAAATTAAATAAATTTTCATCTGAGTTGGATTTTCATCCAATCCACTGGAGGAGGAAATCACCTGATCATTCGCAGCTCCATCTATTTCCGATTCCCCTCACTACCTGCTCACCTATGAAAGTATTCTTATCTCCCCCTATATATCTCAACATCACTCTCCCGCATCGTGATAAGAACGTAATTTGCATATAAATCACCTCATTAATAGTGTTGAATTTGCTTAAAGTGTATATTTTAGATGAATTTTCTACTACCTAACATGGTTTATTTGTTATCTCTTTTACAGAAGTAATATGAGCAAAATGCATTTGAAAGGTGATGAAAAGAATAAATTATACACTTCAAGAAAAGTTGGTGAAATCACCAAGCACTCCGCAGAGTGAAGAGCGCCACTCCACAGAGTGATTCAGAGGAGAAAAGCAACCGAGAGCTGTGATATTTCTCTCTGCACCACTCCACAAAGTTATGGGGACACTCCACGGAGCGAGAAATGAATTTTCCAGACCACTCTGCGGAGTGATACATGTCACTCCGCCCTATTTTTATGCAACTTTTTACCAAGACCTAGAGTCACGGATTTTCAAAATAAAAAATCCTATGTAAGTCCCAAAAACATCTCTCGACTTTGTGAACATGAACTCTTTGATTTTCCTCTGTGTTTTAGTTTTCCATTCGCCAATGAGTAGCTAAACACCCTTCGGGGTTCAATTTTAAAGTACATGAAGATTGTTTGATTAGTTGTTGAACTTTGTGGTGAAGTTGACTGTTCTTGTTAATTCCCAGCAAATATCTTGATCACATACTTGTTGGTGCATGAAATCTTCATAGATTTAGGAATAGGCTATGTTGGTTAGGTTTGTCAACTTGGGCTATCACTTGAACATAAAATTTCAAGGTTTCATGTCGGATGGGAATATACCGCCATGGCATGGTAGGTCTCATAAGTTCTCGAGTTTAATGACTCCATGGTTGAGTTCTACCATAGGAATATAAGTGGTACGCAACTATGGAGATGTTTCTCTGACTTTGGAAGAAGATTTGAGACAATACAGTGAACCGGCTAACATTCTATCACCATAGGTTTAATAGCTAATCGACAATTGGATTGGAAATTGATATTGAACCCTAACTTCTCCATAACTGAAAATCTTTTTTATTTAAACATTCCATTGTTAGAATTTTATTTTCTAAAAATCACTCTATTGTTTAGCTACTTGCACTAAGAAAGATATCATCAGGAGCACATATTTAATTTGCATGTCCTCGTGGGATCGACACCCCTTACTGCTACTACAATTGCAAATCGTAACCTTGCGAGTAAAAGGGGTTATTTTGCACTCATCAAGTCTAGCGCCGTTACCAGGGACGGCATAGGTTATTTTGTGTTTTAATTATATTATCTTGGTTAGTGTTTACTTGTTCTTTTTCTTGTAGTTGCTGCAATTTAGAAAAAAAAATTACAGTTCATCCATATTTCTGAGCTTTGATTTGTGTTGTATGACCAGGAGTAATCCTTCAAGTGAACTACTCTACTTCCCTGAAATCGAGAAGACTTGCTGCCGGCTGAACAAAGAAAGAAAAGCTATGACTATGTCTGGGTTTGGAACCGAAAATACCGAAGAGCAAACCTGAGATAAGCAGAATAGAGTCATTGTCAATAACAATGAGCATAACCGAGACCCTAACAACAATTGAAACCAAGGGCAGCCACAAAAGTTACTACTACTTCATCCCTCTAGCCGAGGAAACTCCAGCTGCAGTTGTATTGATCGACGTTGATGCTCAACATTTCGAGCTTATGTCGACAATGATTCAGTGGGTGCAAGCTACATGTCCATTCTATGGTTCACCAAATGAAGATCTGAATGAGCACATTAGGACCTTTCTCCATATTTGTACCACTTTTAAAATTCGAGGGCTGACGGATGATGATGTGCGACTGTGGTTATTTCTGTTCTCGTTGCAAGACAAGGCTTAAGCTTGGCTCAACACATTGCCTTTGAATTCCATCACGACTTGGAATCAGCTTCGCCAAGCTTTCTTGACGAAATTCTTTCCTCCAAGCAAGACTGCACGGTATAGGAATGAGATCATGACTTTTCGGCAGTTTGGTAATGAGCCTTTGCATGAAGCATGGGAACGTTTCAAAGAGCTACTGAGGAAGTGCCCGTAATATGGAATTGAGGAGTTTATGCAACTAGGTATCTTCTGTGATAGATTATTGACAAGCCGTCGTCACACTAGTCAAATAATTAATTACCTACTTAATACAATTACTAGCAGTAAAGCAGAAAGCAGGGTCGATCCCACAGAGAAGGTTACCAAGTACCAGGTTAATACTATTTCTTATTATTATTTAGATTAACAATTTATCAATTAAACTAATCTAAACCTAAAACTATCAATTGCAATTATTTAAAGATATAAATAAGAAAAAAAAAACCTAGGGCAAAGGGTTCACCAACCGACTATTCAGTTTAACTCAACCTATAGATATGTGACTTTGGACTTTCATTAATCTCACAACGATTCACCTATTTAAGAACTATTCACTGTCGTGATATAATTCTCTTACTCAAACTAACCCTATGACTACTGTCATGACTATAGGATTTAATTAGAGTACATTAAGAACCCTAGAATCTATAGCTGCAAAGATGGTGTTCCTACTTTCATGGCCCACTATCTAAGTTTAATATTCCCACGAACTAGTACTAACCTTCAACCGCTGTTCCTTCAGTTAAATACCTTTAAAGCATGCAAGTGGTGATTAAATACTCACATGGAATAAAAACATGAATATTAGATATCAACTAATGAAAAAAAATCAAAATCATGAATTAAATTAAATTAAATAGTACGGCGGCTACATCCAAAACCCTAAATTAAATAATTTAACTACACATCATCTCAAAAATAAATAAAACAATGAAACCCGGGAGAAGTAGGCCAAAAGTTGAGTCGAGCTTGATGCTATGCTTCCTCCTTCGATGATGATGGTGCGTAGGTGATTAGGATGGATGATGAAAGGGTGAGGTTGTGTTGATGCGTCGGTGGTGCGTGGGCAGGAAGGTGGAAGCAGAGGTGATGGGGAATGATAATTAAGGTGAAAATGATGGGATGAGATGGTGCTGCGTGAGGTTGGGGAAGGGCTGCGTGGGAGGAGGTGATGGGATGGCTTTCGGCGGAGTTCAAGGCTGATGGAAGGTTTCAGTGGAGGTTCAGTTTCTTTTTTGTGAAGGGTTTTGTGGTGTGGGGTTGGAGGAAGGCTGAAGGGGTGATGGAGGCGTGGAGGTGATGAAGTCGGTGGAGTTGGGGGGCTGATGGAAGGTGGGTTTTGGAGTTGGTTAAAAAAATAAAACCCCAATCTTCCTTTTATAAGCTTTCATCAAATCCTATTTCTTCAGGAATAAGAAAGTTATTATTTTTCTTCAAGTCAATTTAAATTAAAACTCCTCCAACTCTTCAAGTGCTTCAATTTCTTCCTTGTCAATTTATCAAATCTTCAATTCTCCCTTTGAGTTACTTTTTCTCTTCAATTTAGCCCAAAATTTCAATAATTCCTCCATTTGAGTACAATTCCTA